TACAACTATATATTATTATTTTAATGTCGTATGGTACATAATTAGGGGCCATAAGGGACCAGAATGCTAAATCTTTGACGCTTTATATCTCAAAAAGTGGAAAATATTTTGATAGGTAATATTGAACGAAAGATGTTCAAAATAATATTCTGAACAATATGCAACCTTTCATTTTTCACTACACGTCCCTATTAGGGAGTTGAAGGGTTGGCCCCTAAATATTTCTTTTGCAAATAACTCGAAAACGAAAGAGAATCTCTGAATAGTTGTTGAACAAAAAGTGTTCAAAATCCTAAGAGGTTTAAGATAAAATCCAGAAAAAAGGGCTGAACACTCAAATTAAGGGCCGATAGGGGCTAAAATTCTTCAATCGATAACTTTTTAGCAGTCAATATTTTTTATACATTACTGAAGCAAAAATAATTATCTCAACAATCTACAACTATATATTATAATTTTAATGTCGTATGGTACACAATAAGGGGCCATAAGGGGACAAATTTCCTAATCTTTGACGCTTTGTATCTCAAAAAAGGGAAATATTTTAGTAAATAGTATTGAACGAAAGATGTTCAAAATAATGTTCTAAACAATATGCAACCTTTCATTTTTTGCTAAATGTCCCCATTATGAAATTGAAGGGTTGGCCCCTAAATATTTCTTTTGCAAATAACTCGAAAACGAAAAAGAATATCTGAATACTTGTTGAAATAAAAGTGTTCAAAATCCTAAGAGCTTTAAGGTGAAAACAAGAAAAAGGGGCTGGACACTACAATAAGGGGCTGAGAGGGGCCAAAAGTTTTCAATCAATGACTCCTTAGCAATCAATATTTTGGTATACATTACAGAAGCAAAAATCTTTATCTCAACAGTGTACAACTAAGCATTATGATTTTCATGTCATTTGATACATAACGAGGGGCCAAAAGAGGCCAAAATGCTCAATCTTTGGTGCTTTATATCTCGAAATTTGGAAATCTTTTCATAAGCAATACTGAGGAGAAGATGTTCAAAATAATGTTCTGAACAACATGCAACCTTTCATTTTTCGCTAAACGTCCCCATTAAGGAATTGAAGGGTTGGCCCCTAAATATTTCTTTTGCAAATATCTCCTAAACAAAAAAAAGAATATCTGAATAGCTGTTGAAGAAAAAGTGTTCAAAATCCTAAAAAGTTTAAGTTAAATTCAAGAAAAAGGGGCTGGGCATTTAAATTAGGGGCTGAAAGGGGCCAAAAATCTTTAATTCATAACTCTTACACAGTCAATATTTTCTTATACATTACAGAAGCAAAAATAATTATCTCAACAATCTACAATTAAATATTATGATTTTAATGTCGTATGATACATAATTAAGGGCCAATAGGAACCAGAATGCACAATCTTTGGTGCTTTATATCTCGAAATTGGGAAATAATTTAATAAGCAATACTAAGGAAAAATGTTCAAAATAATGTTCTGAAAAATATGCAACCTTTCATTTTTCGCTTAACGTCCCCATTAAGGAGTTGAAGGGTTGTTACAACGCACTTTGAAAAATTACGCACTTTGAAAAAATTTTTCAAAGTGCGTTAAGTTTTGGGACCAGGTTAACGCACTTTGAAAAATTTTTTCAAAGTGCGTTGAATTTGGGACCAAATCAACGCACTTTGAAAAAAAATTTTCAAAGTGCGTTAAAACTGTACATCATAATTTTACACCATGTAAACATTTAACGCACTTTGAAAAAAATTTTCATGAAACAAAAGGAATTAGACTTATATTTTAGAAATAGACAACAGTATTATCCCCTCGCAACGTATGATGGAATATAGTGATGCGATTATGTGTGTTATTACTTTATGTGTATGTTAGTTTTTTCTGTGTGGAATTGACGTAATTTGTATCGGGATCGATGTCAAATGATTTACTGAAAATGCTTTTTTGGGAAGGAATGCTCCGCTTTGCGGTGCCCTTACTTTGATATGTTTCTTTCTAAAAACTGATGGATTGAAGAAAACCAAGAAACGTAAAAATGAAAGAAAAGACTGGCTGAATTAAGGTCTATCAGTTCAACTCTTTATCATTCCCACCCAGATATATCTATTTCTATAACTCGTAACCTTAAGTGTCAATGATATTTGAAAAAAAAGAGCATTCTAAATACAGTATAAGCACTGTACAAGGAAGTCTGTAGTAAATCGAAATTTTGTTCTTTTAAATCTCAAAGTCTATTTATGTTCATTTTCAGGAAAATCAGAATATTAATTACTACCTGTAAATTCCTTATTTTTAGCGAGTGTTTTTTATCGCTAACTGGCTCTCAAACGTCAAATCGCTAGAATTATAATTCGCGAATGAACGGTTAATGAACAGATTTTACATAGATTTAAGCACAAGAAAAATAAAAGCGAGTAATATTTTTTTCGCGAGTGATACTTCTCGCGAAATTACGCAGAAATTAATTCCTCGCTTATATTAAGGAATCTACAGTACCTGTCGGTTTTTCGATGTTAATTTGATACCATATCTGATAATCTCTCTGTTAAACTCCAGGTGTTTAAAAACACAAGTTTTGCCAAAATTATAGAGTTATTTCTCTTTGGTATCCCAAATAAGTAAGGTTTTATGAAAATTCATATAAATATCTATAATTTTTTTAGAGTCATTCCAATATGTTAACTTTTGAGAATTGACTAAGAGATAGGCGGAAGAACAATACTATCATTCGTAGTTCTTTACGACATTGAATATTGACCTTTTGACCCCAAATTCAAAAGGGGTCTTCCTAAGGCCACAGGGATTCTGTTAAGTTAAATTTCATTGCAAATGTTCAAAGGGTTGGCGAGATATCGTGTGGAAACGAAAGCGTTACAGATCTAGAAAGACGGATGGACGGACAGCTAGACGGACGGACTGACAGATAGACCCAAATTAATATCTCCCACTTTTCAAGCGGGGGACAAAAAGTATCAAATCAGGTTCAAATGATAATTTATCATACCTAAGATTTGTAGGAATATTGACTAAGCCATGCAGATTTGTTTTTCAAAGTGCGTTAATATGGTCGATATTAACGCACTTTGAAAAAAAAATTATTTTTTCAAAGTGCGTTAACCTGGTCCCAAAATTTAACGCACTTTGAAAAAATTTTTCAAAGTGCGTAATTTTTTCAAAGTGCGTTGCCACAAAGGGTTGACCCCTAAATATTTCTTTTGCAAATATCTCTTAAACAAAAAAGAATCTCTGAATAGTTGTTGAAGAAAAAGTGTTCAAAATTCTAAGAAGTTTAAGTTAAAATCAAGAAAAGGGGGCTGGGCATTTAAATTAGGGACTGAAAGGGGCCAAAAATCTTTAATCCATAACTCTTACACAGTCAATATTTTGTTATACATTACAGAAGCAAAAATGTTTATCTCAACAGTCTACAACTAAACATTATGATTTTAAGTCGTATGATACTTAATTAGGGGCTGCAAGGGACCAGAATGCTCAATCTCTGACGCTTTATTTCTCCAAAGTGGGAAATAATTTGATAAGCAATATTGAAGAAAAGATGTTCAAAATAATTTCAAACAAAATATACAACCTTTTTCTTTTTGGTTTTGCTTAGCGTCCCCATTAAGGTGTTGCAGGGCTGGTCCCTAAAATTTTATATTGCAAATATCTCAAAAACGAAAAAGATTCTCTGAATACTTGTTGAGCAAAAGGTGTTTAAAATTCTAAGAGCTTTCAAATAACATGAAAAAGGGGGGCTGGGAACTCAAATTAGGGTCAAGAGGGGCTAAAAGTCTTTAATAGATAAATTTACAACAATCAATTTTTTAAATGCATTAGTGAAGCAAAAATGTTTATTTTAACCATTATTACAATTACATATGATGATATTCACACCATATGTTGCAGCATGCAATCTTTCAATTTCTTCGAGGGCATTCCCGTTGCAGAGTTGAAGGGACTACTCCTAAATAATATTTTTGCATATATTTCGTAAACTTAAACTCATATAAGGGGTCATGAAGATTAGCCAAGAGTTTAGCGGAAGACAACTCTGGAAAGAGAATGAAAATTTGTAGTACCTCTTCCGTTAGCCGGACTTAGTCCGTTGCCCCCTACTCACCGCGGGGAGGTGGAAGTAGGATTTTGAGCAGGATATATATTTATTGGTAACTATTTCTCTATATCAATTTATTACATGTATACGTATTACAAACAACAAAACCAAGTACATTTTATACATAATGATCAACCACCAAGAAGAGCATTGTATTTGGATTGGGACTAAGTAAGCTTATATTACAAACGTTTACAAGAGCTATGACCACTTGAATCTTATTTTGAGTTTTTCATATATCTTAAAGAAAAGAACATTTCAACAATGGACTTGCCAATAATCATCAATAATAAACAATATTCACAATGAACATAATAAATACATATTCCTGTAATTTAAAATCTGCTATCTGTAGGTGGTCATAAATAAAATCTTCTTCCATGGCATTCAGAATAAAGCACTGTCACTTTCAATCCATATAAAAGCTGTAAACTGTCTCTTTCAAAGAGAGAATGATATTCTAATCTACTTAAAAGAATTAAATGTACCAAATGCACCATAAGTGCTAACCGTGAACGTGAAAAACATTCTAAACTTTTCTAAATGTGAAAATGTATATGATCATTTCAAAATATTTACAAGTTAGTTTAAATCATGCTATACTCTTCTCTATTGCATGAAGTTTTGTGTTCAGTTCATCTAGATTTATACACCTAATACATGTAATACATGTAGTTATTATGCTATATCTTTAGAATTGACTATTTCTTATTAACACTATTTGCATGTGTGAAGATCTACATGAATATTTACATTCTTCAAAACTACATCTAATTCTAATTTTTCTTAATTAATAATGGAATGGAATACTTAATGGCTAAAAGCTACAATTCAATATCAAACAGAAAAAAGATATCAATGATATCCCCACACAGTTGTGAACAAAATAGCTCTTGTAATTCAAATTATATTTCTTGGAATTTAAGAAATACAGCATCATGATAACTGTAGTATGTTGGTAATCGTTTGACATCAATATCTATTGAATTGGATATGTACACATGATCCAAAATGGTCCTTCCTTCAGTAGTACTAAAAGTAACTAGTTGTCTGAAGTGTTGATGCTTCATAAATCTTTGGATTGGACCATTAGATTTTGCATCCTCGTTCAAATCCCCCATGAGAATACAATCTTGATAAACTGACCTTGTGAAGTCAAGTACTCTTTGCAGACTTTGAAGAAAAGTTGTTATGCTTGCCATGCATGGACGATACACAATTACCATCACAATCTTTTCCCGTAATAACTTTAAAGCCATTCCTTCAATATTCATTTGTGGAAGGGGGAGAATCTCAAGAAAACCACTATTATTTCTCAAATATAATCCAACACCTCCGCCTTTTGACTGCCGTAATTGTTGTGTAACAACATAATTGCCATCATATGCCTCCTGTCTAGGAAGGTGATGAAACTGAAATCCATCAAGTACAAAATTTTCTGTGTTCATCCCAGTCTTTAACCACGTCTCTGTCAGGCAGATGATATCGACATTTCTGAACCTCTCATCATTTTTCAGATCTCCAAAATGTCTGCCTAAGCTCTGAATATTCTGTAGAATTACTGTCATCCCACTGGTTGTTAAATCTTGCGAAAGGTCATCAAAAATGTATTTTGGCATTTCGTTTAAAGCTGTCTTTACTTCAGGGTCTGCATAATTTTTTTTCTTTAATTTAGCTGGATCTTCTGTTTCAATGAATAAGCCATCTTCTGATGTAACTCTTGACAATGCAACATAAGCTTGTCCAGGAGAAAATGTTCTGTCTAAATTCACAACAATTCTGTCTGTGGTCATGCCTTGCACCTTATGAGCAGTACATGCCCATGATAACCGAAGAGGAAACTGGTGTCTTACTACAGAAGCTGACTTCTCTTTTATTTCCTCTTGTACTCTTTCTATTAACACCATATTTCCTTCTTTGGTTTTCTGCCCGGACTTCCTACCAACTTCCTTGTTGTCAAAAATTACCCCTACAGCTGCAAGACATGTAGCATTGTTTTCTTTGTATAGAAATCGATAAACATAGCCCATCACTCCATTCACAAGCCCATCTTCCACATTACAGTTTCTTGTTAGCATTACTCGTGCATTGACGGACAATAGCAAGGAGTTAGGAAGCCCATCAATCTTTGATCTAGTGATAGGTTTGTCTCTCTGTACCAATTTCCCAGATGTTTTGTCTTTCTTATAATCTTGGGCATCAATTTCTAATAAATCTTCACATGTTTTTCTTAACATTGACAAATTGTAAGTGTTTACTTCCTCGTTGGTACAAAACACATGAAGAGCATCCTCTGGTCCTTCTCTGATACAGCGGTCCAACATGATACTCTGATGCTCTGTTAATGGCTCATCTGTCAGTCTAATACGCAGTGAGTTTAGCAACTCAGCAAATGACAAATCTTCCTTTTGCCTCATTATCTCATTTAATTCGATTACTTTAAAATAGTCTAGCCAGAAATCCACAGGATAATTCAAATTTGCTTTGTAGAGTCTCTCATTTTTCCGCTGCTTAACAGGTGGAAGCTGATAGAAGTCCCCTACTGCAATTACACAAACACCTCCAAATGGATCTTTGCATTTCTTAATTTGCACTAGGCGTTCGTGTACATAATACAGTAGCTTTTTGTATACCATTGATGCTTCGTCAATAATGAGAATCTGTAGGTCACCAATCTTTACTCTCATTTCACTAAGACTTTGTTCTCCCAATGGTTCATATGGCAATGGCAGATATTTTGTAAGTGAAAATAAATGATGAAGTGTATTTCCACCAATGTTGAAAGCTGCTGTGCCTGTGAATGCCGAAAGCAGTACAGATACTCTTTCTGGTTCTGGCATTATTCTGGAAAGCAAATGTGATGCCTCATAATGAATTGCCTTTATAAGATGACTTTTACCAGTGCCTGCACCACCAGTCACAAATAAGTGCAAAGGTTCACATTTTTCGCCATTTATCTTTGCTAAACACCATTCACGAAGCAAATAGAATATTTCAGTTTGTGCTTTGTTCAAATTTTGGAGAACTGGCAACATTTCATCTCTTGAATTTACATTTTGGTGAACATGATACAGCACATCTACATTATTCATCTCACTTTCCATATCTGGTATGGCTTCCCTATCATTCTCTTGATGCACTGTGTTTTCTATCCTTTGTGCTATACCTTCTCTCCTTAGTACTTCTGTTTCTGGACATATGCATGACCATGCATCCTCTGGTTCACCATTCATTTCATATGCTTCTTCGGCACGGTTTATGGCATCTTCATTTTGTGCATAATGTGAACGATTAAAATCTACAATGGATTTCACTGATTGCAATTGTCTTGTCCCTGTGATTTTCACATGACCTGTTTCATAAAAATCCTCATATAAATTGAATCCTGGTGGCTTCAAGTGCTTCTCTGTCCGATAGGGAAGAAAGAGTTGCACCATAGAGCGATAGTATTTTTCTGACATCTTTTCAACATTGAATCTTGGATACCTTACAACAGCATGTTGTGTTCTTGTTCTACGTTGAATATATCCCTTCCCGTTCTGCAATTCAAACACATTCTCGTTTTCTTTTTTTGGAACTTGAGATTTAGCAAGTACTCTGAATTCAGAGCAGAAGTTTGCGAGACACATGTCATGGAATACTGGCTTATCTGGGCGGTTCTCGTAACGCTCAATTATATTTGTCATCCAGATTTCATCATCATCATCCTCATCACCATTTATTTCTTCCTCATTTGATACTTTCTTTTTTAGCAACGATAGTGGCTTGCTTAAGCGTAGTGGATTGTCACCAACAGGTACAAAAACAACTTTCCTTGAGCATTCTTTCATTTTTAGATTGCACACTCTGTATACAGCTTCCTGAGCACTCACTTCTCTGTGATGCAAGTATGCAGAACCAATTTTCTTCATTGTTTGTCGAGCATTGAGATTTCCCTCCTCTGCCTCTAATTTTGTTTGTTTAAGTAACATGCCCATTTCTCTTTCCGCCTTTGATATGTAGGAAACAATGTACACAATACAACTGAATGGATCCAAGACAAACTGAATGTCCATATTAGCATCCCAGCATTTTAAGAGACATTGGTTATATTGGTTTGTCCACACTTCATTTGGGTTGCGTTGAAGAACAACAGATCTCCCAGATAGCATGACTATATTGGGCCAACATTTGTAAAAGGTTGTATGGTTGGCGTTGGGGGAACAACGTTGGGCCAACGTTGGACCAATGTTACCAAGTCAACCTTCTCGACCATGAAGGAATTCCTATGTTGGCCCAACGTTGGTCCAACGTAAGCAACTTCCATTCACTTTAGTTTCCAAGGAAGGAAGGATCCTGGTGTTGGTCCAACAATGGACCAGTGTTTATAATACACCTTTAAAGAAAAGTGTATTTACAAGTTGATAGTAGTATGTTGGCCCAACGTTTGCCCGATGTTTGTAATACACCCTTAAAGAATGCGTCTTATCAAGTTGGTAGTAATTTTTGGCCCAACGTTGGCCCATTGTTTGCAATACACCCTTATAGAACGTGTCCTATTAAGTTGGTAGTTGTATGTTGGCCAAACGTTGGCCCATTGTTTGTAATGCACCCTTAAAGAAAGTGACTTATCAAGTTCAAGTAGTATGTTGGCCCGACGTTGGCCCGATGTTTCTAATACACCCTTAAAGAAAATGTCTTATCAAGTTGGTAGTATTGTGTTTGCCCAACGTTGGCCCATTGTTTGTAATACACCCTTAAAGAAAATGTCTAATCAAATTGGTAGTAGTATGTTGGCCCAACGTTGGCCCATTGTTTGTAATACACCCTTAAAGAAAATGTCTTATCAAGTTGGTAGTAGTATGTTGGCCCAACGTTGGCCCATTGTTTGTAATACACCGTTAAAGAACGTGTCCTAACAAGTTGGTAGTAGTATGTTTGCCCAACGTTGGCCCATTGTTTGTAATACACCCTTAAAGAAAATGTCTTATCAAGTTGGTTGTAGTATGTTGGCCCAACGTTGGCACATTGTTTGCAATACACACAAGTGTTATTTTGTTTAGGTATTTAAAAGATGGGATATTTATATAGGGCCAACGTAGGCCCAATTATCATACTGCCAACTAATTGATGATGTCAATTTTATAATTAGCTGCTGAGCTTTACGTTGGCACATTCTGAAATAATTAAGAGGACTTTCTATGTCCCTGCTTATCACTGGATGACTGCTCTTGTTTAGAGATGATATTTTCAAAATTTTAACTTTGCACTTAAGTGATCACAGGACCAAAGAGTGTTTTATTCTATTTTTTGAATTGTGTTTATGCTTATTTATTTGAAATGAACCAGATAGCAGAACATCGTTGGCCCAATCTTACATTATGGTTGTATTATCTTTGTTGGGTTACCTTTATTGGGCCAACAATGGCCCAACATGGAATATCGATAGCTGGTTATGTATAATGGTGCGCTAATGTTGGGCTAACTGTTATTACTGGCATTATATCATAAAATTATGATCATGAGAGAAAATATTTGTTTGGGGATTGGCATCGGCCCAACGTTGGCCCAATATATCATGAATCTGACTGAGCATCATGGGTAGACAACAACCGGGCTACTTGTAATATCCGCGCCATCTTTAATCTGACACGAGCAAGCGTAATGAGACTGAGACGTTGCATATCTGCATCCACTTTGTAAGTATTTATATGTTTGCCTCGGCACAGCTGAATAAACGTTTAATTTTTAAACGATATCATGTACAAATCTGCAGAAAGCAGACATGGGGAAGTGCAGAGGCCAGGTGCTGTTGGGTCAACACTGTACGTCCCAGATGGCATGCTAACATTGGGCCAACGTTGGGCCAATGTAATCGGTTACATCGGGCCAATGTTGGCAAATGACATTGACCCAATTTAAGTTTGCTCATCGGCCCAATGTTGGCCCGATATGTTGGGCCAACGTTGGCCCAGTGTAGAGTGTTATTTCTACAGATATTGGCCCAACGTTGCGCCAACATTGGCCCAATGAATGCGACATTGTTTGCCCAACGTCAATAGGAACATTGGGCCGATGTTGGCAAATGACGTTGGTCCAAAGTCATTTTGCAACTTAGCCCAATGTTGGCCCGATATATTAGACCAACATTGGGCCAATGTGTATAAACATTTAATTGTTACAAATCTGTATATAACAAATCTGATCGTCTCTACAATCAGAAATAAATCTACAACCAATCCTACTTGAAAATACAAGCTAGCTAAAATGAATTTACAAGGCTTGTTTAAATTTTTATAATTTATCAAAACAAAATAAATTATCAGTGATTAAATGTTTTGTTTCTATACAAGAAAAATAAATGAAAGTATAAAATAACAAATGTGTTTTGATACAGTTAAAACAATAAATAATTTGCCCCTTATTTAGACTGAGATTTGTGTCTAGTAGAATACATCTCCGAAGTCTACCACTTAATTTACTTATATACACTTAACGTCGAGCACATGATCAAACATTTTGAAAATGTTGAACTTGTTGAAGTTAAAACAAAATTTTTTCAGTACTAAACATAAATTGGGTTCTTTCATTTAAATTTTTTCACTGTAACGACAAATTTTCTATACATGTATTTTATATGGGGCAAGATTGAATCAAAATCGTTGTGATGATGATGATCAAGCGTAGAAATGTTATGCATAAATGTCTTCGTCATGCAAGCTAATCACTTAATCACACCAAGAAACAAAAAAGACGGTTATTCCTGAATTGACAGCTTAAACATTATAGTGATATACTTGTAAATTTAATCGTATGTTTACTCTTTACTGAGAAAAGTAACAAATGTATTAAGTACCAAATACTACAATTTTAGTGCTACTGGAGATTCTAAAAAGACATTCAGAACACAATCAAAGAATAGCTAAGGTATGCCAAGGACAGGGATGGGGGAGGAAGAAACGGAAAGAGAAGAAAAGAAGGCGGAGGAGGAGACTCGGGAGAGAGAAGAGAAACTTGGCGGGAGAGGGATCAGATGGAAAGTGGCAGTGCCTAGCTTTTTCTGTAATATAGTGTGACATACCTGTAGTTCTACCCTTTTCTGTGTCTGTTTGTCGGTTACAAGCACGATGCAGATGCCAGAAACATTTTTTGTGTAAGTAAACAAAATGACGGGATTCATTTTAGTATTATTTTAAGGACAGGAGGGCTTTGTTTATTTGTTAGACGTGCTTATTGATACCTGCAATTTACTGAACTTGTGCATAAATTTACATCAGAGAGGGAGCATACAGTCATGTAACCCTACATGTATCGCTTCAAGTGAGCATCAACTTTATGTTCTTTATTAATGTGAGCAATAAAATACTAGTATGTTACAATTTAATTTTATATTTTGATTTCTTTTTCCTCAGTTTTTTAATTAATGCTATGAGATATATATTGAGAAAATGTATTAAACTATTAATCTAGCATATATAGATAGTATTAAAGGGCTTTTACCATTAAACTGTACTACAAAACTAGTATAACCTTATTATATGTATTTGTTTGTCGATTTTGAGGACAAATGGCCAACCAGTGAAGAGCAAATCAGTTGTCATGATGGAGAGCCAATAAGATACAAACCAACGTTGGCCCAAAAATGATGTTTGCCTAATATTGAAAGAATAAGTGGTCCAACAATGGTTCAATAATATCCGTTCGTTTGTCCAGCAATAAGCCAACAAGTTGGTCTGATTAAGGGCCGATGAGCAAATTACCGTTGGCCCAACATTAATTGCTTACAATGGCCCAAATGTACAAAACTGATGTTTGCCCAACATTGAAAAAATACATTGGCCCGACAGTGGCCCAATATTAACTGTTACATTGGCCCAACAATAAGCCAACAAGTTGGTTTGATTAAGGGCCGATGAGCAAATTACCGTTGGCCCAACATTAATTGCTTACAATGGCCCAATTGTACAAAAATGACGTTTGCCCAATTTTGAAATAATACATTGGCCCAACAGTGGCCCAATATTAACTGTTACATTGGCCCAATAATAAGCCAACATGTTGGTTTGATTAAGGGCCGATGAGCAAATTACCGATGGCCCAATGTTGAATACAAACGGTGGCCCAACATAAGGAGCATTGTTGGCCCAACAAAGGTCCAATAACATCCTGCTATCTGGGCTCTTTGCTGATAACATGTTATAAGCTTCTTCATACAATTCCTGTGTTAGTGAAAGATGATCAAATATTTGTTTTGTTGTTCTTTTTTCGTCATCGTTTTGTATTTCATCCCATACACTAAGTAATATTTCCTTTGCATATGCCTTGCTTTGCTTTTCTTCTCTAGCCTCTATTTCACACTCAATGTTCTCTCCATTTTTAGAAAATGTTATAAATGTCCTTTGGGATGGAGGCCTTGGGAAGTTAAACCTACATTCAGTACCCTTCTTCTTGCAAGATTTTGAATGATTCTTGCTATGCTGTTGTACTTCCAAAACAGTTTTTCTCAATTCCATGTCATCAATTTCTGAAGGAATGCCACAGGTTACATATCTGTCAATGAAATTACTTACAACTTCCTCTCCATCAGAGTCAATGTTAGGTGCATTTGCCACCCAGTATAAACAATGCATATACGGAGATCCTCTTTGCTGAAACTCGACTCTTTGGAAAAAGTCTACTACTTTTCCGATTGGTTCACAAGGTGAAAGAATGACCTCTTTATGAAATACCTGAAATCTATGCTCGAACATTCTAGCAACTGTGACTGGATTGCACCTTAGAACTTCATTCTTTTCTGACCACTCCATTTCATTAGGATTCCTGTCATCACTCTGCTGCCTTAATATAGCCCTTACAGCATCATTCCATCTGTATTCTGCTGCACTAAACGAACAAAACCAGGTAGGGATCCCTAATTGCCGTAACATTGCAAAGAGGTCCTTCTGAGCAGTTGCCCAATATGCAGGTGTTCCTCTTATCGGTTGCATGAACCTTATTGCGTCATCATTCCTCAACAAACTAGAGAGCGTTGTGGGATCTTGAAGCATATTTGCTGTCACTGGTTTCCCACTAGTACATTTTGACAAAGATTTCCTGAGTGAAATCTGAGTTTTTTCAATCACTTGGTTTAGTTCAGACATGAACTGGCTAAAGAAAATGTAATTTGTGTCTT